TCCACTTCCTCTCCGAACCGCCCGCCCCGCGGAACGGAGCGACACGCTGTCCGCTCGCAGGGCATAGCTTTTCGCCAGGGCCGCCGCCGCCACACGCGAAGCAAACATTCTCGAGCGTAGTGCGCACGTCTGCACGCACAAGCACGCAGGGCACATTACTTTCTCCACCGGCAGCAGCTTGTGCTGGTGCTCGGGCATGCTGCCGAGAGGTGGTCCGTGACACCTTGCCCGTCGGATGCTCATGTTCCCCTCCCTTGTCCCCCTCCCCCAGACATGCAAGGTCCTGACTATGTCGATACGCGGTCGCTGGAAGTTCCGACCCTTTCCCCTGGACCGGCTTCTCTTGAGTGATTTTTCGACGGTCCCGCGGCCTCGCGAGAGCCCCCAGAGGCCGAAGACTACGAAAGGCCTTCGTCCTGATCTTTTCTCGACGCGAGCACGTCTGGGTCGGGCACCTGCGTCCCCGACCCCTGGCCTCCTCTCCCCCGGGTCCCGCTCGCCTGCTCGTGTCAGCCTCCAGAGTTTTGTGTCGCGGCTCTCCTGGCCGCAGGGATACCTTCGCTCTGCGTGCCGAAGGAACCTGGGACCACCCGCCCCAAACGGGCGACCTGCACCGCGGGCCTGAGCACCCGAGGAGCCAGAGCAGCTCGCTTCGTTCCAGAGATCGGGACGCCTCGACCCGAGCTCCAGAGGAGACCGCCGCCGCCGCCTATGCCCCCGTCTCCGAATGCTGCGCCGAAGGAGGAGCATAACGTCGTTCTTCGCCAGCAGTCAGGCACGCGCAGAAGGGGGACTGGAGGGAAGGGGGGAAGGCTTCTTAGAAGCACCCGTGCTTCTTGTAAGGTGCGGGCCCTCTGTAGATCCAGGGAAGGGCGCCTTCTAAGAAGCAGCCTCCTCCTAAGACGCCTTCCACCCTCCCCCCCTCCCTTACGCGCGCCGCCAAGATGTCGTGACAGGATTGGATCATAATGCGTGTAATAATGTTCAGAGTATCTTACGGCCCTCTTTTCCGAAGCCCGTGTGGAGCATTACAGTCAGGTGCATAATGTTGGTAGGGAGTGTTTAGAGCGCATGTGTACGTATCGGGAGCCATGAGGGAGCCACGAGGGAGCCTCGACAACGACGACGACCGACGACAACAACCGACCGATCGACCGAGACGACGACCGACGACGACAACTGAACGACCGACGGATCGACCGACCGACCGATCGATCGACCGAGTCGACGACGGCCGACGACAACCAAACCGACCGACTAACCGCACGCGCACGAGCGCGCGCAGACTGCCCGGGGGCGAGGCGTGACTACAATGCTAGGACCCCCGCCCTCGGGCCTGTCCCTCCCCCCCCCCTGTCCCCACCCTGTTATCTTTTACAGCAAGGGGGTGTGGCTCCTGCGCGCAATTTTTACGAGGGAAAGTGGTTCCTGCAGCTCATGCCTGCAAGACACATCGGCTCCAGCACCGGATGTTTACGAGGGAAGCTGGTGCCAGCAGCCAACGGCGTCGGTTCCATCACCCAGCGTTAACGACGGATAGTCGTCCCAGCAGCCCATGCCTCCAAGACAGATGGGCTCCAGCATTCCGTTTTCTACGAGGAAAGGCAGTTCCGGCAGCCCGCGGCGTCGGCTCCAGTGCAATTTTTGTTACGAGGGCCGGTGGTTCCACCAACTCCACGCCCCAACCGCCACCAGCACACCATTACCGAATGATTCACCTGAGTGACAGGGAGTGTGGGATACCGTGGGAACTTGAGAGGTCCTGGAACGCATCATTTTCGTGACCCCTGGTGTGCGCCGCAAGTCAGAGCGTGAATTACCTACCCCGCTTTCGCTTCCAGGCAAGACCAAGTCATACCACGCGCCTCCTCGTCAAGCGGCCTGACCAGCGCAGGCCGTAGTTTGGCGTCGCTTGGTATCTCTTGGAAGCGAGGGTTGTCAAAAGCGAGGTAGGTTTGTTTGCCCCCTGGATTCGCCTGAGTGACAGGGACTGCGGGATGCCGTGGGAACTTGGGAGATCTTGGAACGTATCATTTTCGTGACCCCTGGTGTGCGCCGCAAGAGCAGGTCCCCGTCACCCCGCCCGGGCAGCCTCGCCCGCCGCCGCGGCGCGGCCTTGACGCGGTGGGCGTGCCGCCGCCGCCCCCCGCGCTGCCGGACATGCCGCGGCAGGCGGCAGGCGCGTCTCGCCCCCTCGTGCGGCCACGGGGTCAGCGGCGTCGGCGGCGACGCCCACCTCCTCCTCCTCCTCCTCTTCCTCTTCCTCCTCCTCCTCCTCCACCTCCTCCTCCTCCTCCTCCTCCTTCTCCTCCTTCGGTACGCTGGGCTCCTCCTCCTCCTCCTCCTCCTCCGCCGCCTCCTCCTCCTGCTCCGCCGGGGGCGTCGCGCCGTCGGCGTCGGCGCGAGCGGCGGCGCTGGCGGCGGCGGCGGCGGCGGCGCGACGTCAGCGGCGGCGTCCGCGACGGCGGCGGCCGGCGCTCTCCCATCGACAACCCCGACGACGGCCTCCGCACGGCCCAATATACAGGCTGCCTGCCGGCCCACGGTGGGCCTATACGTGCAGCCCCTGCGTGGGCCCAGCGGGATAAGCCTTAACCTTAAGGGGCCGGCTGCCCGCGCCGTGGAGGAGGGCACGGCGGAAGGCTCTGGGCCATGTTCCGGCCTCGGGGGGGCCCTGCCAGTCAGGAGGTAAAAAAACACACAGACACAATTAATCGGCGATTCCCAGAAAATATGGGAAACTATGGGAAGTGGGGGGGAAGACAAGAAGCCAGAAAATATAGGAAAATATGGGGGATATTTTTATTTGTGAGTATTTATTTGTGTGTCCTGGGGCCCCTTCACCCAGGGCTCTCTGGGGCCATCGGGCATCAGCACGGGAGACGGAACCGTTTCCTGTGAAGGGGTCCAGTTCCTCTGGGTGGCCACGTTGTCAGGCACGACGTCGGAGGCTTGGGAAGTTGGAAGGAATACTCAGGTGTCGCCAGCAGCGGCCCTGGCCCCAAGGTGTGGGCGACGTGAGCGGCGACGTCGGCGACGGCGTTCACTGTCACCCCGTCATCTGGGGAAGGGGGGGACGAGAAGGGGCGGGGGGAGGAGGGGAAGGAGGCAGGGAGGGAGCGAGAGGATGGACGGGTGGTTCTTATGCTTTCTTTTGACTGGGGCTGTTTGGGCCCTGTTTTGGTATCCGGTGGGAGGGGCAGGAGAAGTTCCCTCCCGGGTCATCTCCCCCCTCCATTTCCCTCTTTCCGAGCACCTCTGGAAGCGTTTGAACCTTGAAGAGAACCATTTGAATTTTCGTGGAGCCCCATGACCCAACCTTCCCAATTTTTCGACCCCCCAGGACGCGTTTGCGAACCATTGCGAGCTGCCATGTACCTCCGCAGCTCCCAAATCACCAGAGTCTGCAGATCTCCGTCGCACGCATTCGAACACAAGGAACCATATCCGAATTCCAGGACACAGAAAGCGCATCTCCGACAAATCGTCGACCCTCTCCCGGGCATCCCACATGAGGTCCGAATAGCTGGGGTCGGAGGACCACGCCGCAGCGCCGATGCATCGGCGATGCGGCTCGATGCGAAGCCCGATGCTCTCTACGCCGACGGTGGCGATGTGTCAGCGATGCGGCGAGCTCCTCTGACTTCATCTATTCGGACCCCTTTAGGGAAGCTTCTTTTTGAACACGAACTGACAGTCGCTAACGACTTTCAGCCCTCGAAATCCTTCCCTTCCCCCCCCCATCCTGCTGTCATCGGCGGTGTGCCCGGCAGAGCCAACAGCCTGGGCTCAAGGAGCGAGGAGGAGGAGGAGCAGGGGGAGGAGGAAGAGGATATGGGGAGGGGAGAAGAACCAGGAAGAGGAGATTGCGGAGTGGGAGCGAGAGCGAGCTATTCCGCGTGGTGATCGAGGGAAAGAGGAAGGAGGGAGGAGAAGAGGCATGATGAGGAAGGGGAGGCGGAGGAGGCGGAGGGCGTGAGGAGGGATGGAGGAGAGACGGAGGGCGGATTGGAGGAGGTGGAGGAGGAGGAAGAGGGAGAGGAGGAGGATGATGAGGAGGAGGAGTATGGATGCGGGAGGAAGGAGGGCCCATTCTTCTCCCCTCCCCCTCCTTCGACATCCGTAGCCATTTTGGCTCAAGTCCGTAGCGCTTGCTCAAAGGACTGAGGGTTTCTGGCATTGGGGATTTCGCGGGCCCCATCGCTTCTTCAGAGCTTATCTGGTATCTTTATTTGGGATTATTGATATTCTCCCGCACCATTTCGCACTCCCTCTGCACTCGTTTGCGATGCCGCCTGCTTCCTCTTGCGTCTAGCGGCTGGGCATGCCAGCCCTGGACATGGCAAGACGGGCGGCTGAACTCATCATCGCGCTCTGCTCCAGCATCCAAGCTCTGCTGCCCTGTCTGCGCTTGCGCAAGCAATTTCAAACTCCTCCGCTGGTGCAAGAATTGGGCAACACCATGTTGCCCAAGGTGCCCCCCCCGGCAGAGGCGCAGCCCCCCTGGAGGTGTGTGGTCGGGTGCTCGTTCTCCTTGTTTAACCCAGCGTGGAGGGGGAGGTTGACGCTCCCACTGGCTTCGGCGGGGAGTCCGTCTCTGGCGGCAAGCAGTGTGGCACGGGCGGCCAGTGTGGCAAAGGCGGCCGAGGCAGCAACAAGGGCAAGGTCAAAGGCTGGGCCTTCAGCATCGCCTATTGCTGCCGCTGGGCACTCTGGTGCTCTCCCTCCTGGCCGTCGGCCAAACCAATCCATATCCGAAACCAAGCAGCTGGCCGAGCTGCACACGAAGGCGGGCGAGGGCCAGCTGGCGAGCAAGCACAGGATGCTCACACTCCCCCCCGAGAGGAGTCCGAGAAGGCGCCTGCGACTTCGCCACCACAGAAGGTGCAACAAACCTACGCGCTGGTGCGCCGCCAAGAACGTACTCTCGCGGCTGGGCTTGCCAAGCGTTACAAGTGGAGGGCTGAGCTTGTCACGCTGTACAAACGTCCGAAAGTTACAGAATTTCACTTTGAATTGTTGAAGGCAGATGCAGAGTACCAGCACGTGGCCAAGGACCTGCATCAAAAAACTCATTATCATGCGGAGCCTGCTGTGGTCGCCCAGGTCATTTTGGAGCAGCTAGTGGACGGTCCCACCCCGATCGACAACATTAGCTCTACATATTATCTTGGGTTGGAGGGGGTTGCAGAAGTGCACGAGCTTTCCCAGGAGGGCCGCGAGCAGATCCTGACACGTAAAGAGGAGTTTTCTTCTCAATTCACTATTGGCAGATGCCCTGGCCAAGAACAGGGATGCCGAGGCAGTCCACAGGAAGCAGTTGTCACAGGCCAAGAAAAGAGGAACAAGGAGGACGGCGAGTCAGAGGCAGTTCCTGCTGGATGTGGAGGAGGAGCTGCACCTGCCGCGGGTGGATTCGGCCAGCGGGGGCTAAGCTGCGGCAGCGCCCTCAGCATCAGCTTCCAGGACTGAGCCTTTTGAGCCGGACCGGCGCGCCCAAGTTGCTGCCGAACTGTCCAATATGTCTCTTCTCCCTGAGAAGGGAGGGGCCAGTAATTCCAGCCAGGGTTCAGAAGCTCTTCGATGTTGCTTGTCTCGTTTGATTCGTTCTTTCGCAGTGTGAGACGCGCTTTCAGTTGACATCCCCACGTGGATGAATATCCCAATCTGTCTGCCCAGGTATTGCTGCACGCCAGCCACTAGTTGGAGGTTGAAACGGGAGTATTGCTTCTTTTATTCTTCGCCGTGCGAGGCGTATAATATCCCTTTACAGCCCGAGGGCAACGCCCAATCTCGCCATTCCAGCTCCGTGGGAAGGGGGGGCCAGGACTCAGTGGGCAGCCCAGGGGTGTTTTCAATGCTGCTTTTTCATGTTTGGAGTGTCGGTTGTAGTAAGTGGGGTACGAAGGAGATGCCACATAACACCAGTTGCACCGCTCATGCCATTCTCTGTCAGGAACACAGGCTGAGAGATCTCGAGCGTACTGATCGAGCGCTGAGCGCTGGGTGGGAAACTACTTGGCTTGCTGGCATCCCAGGGCCCAGGGGCGGAAACAGCGCAGGCGTTGATATATTTGCCCAGTCCTGTCTGGGGCTCTACTCTGCACCAGTTCACGCCATTGCTCGGGGCCGCTGCCTCGCCTGCACAGCTCGCGCCGCTGACTCGCTTGCAGCGCTTCTGCGGTCGGTCTACTTACTTCGCAGCGTCGCTTCGAACGCTGGCAACGGCGAGACCCCCATCGACCCTGGCGCCTCGGCGAGTTTGCGAGCAGCCAGCCGCCCGGATACATCGCCAGAGGGGGCTCCTACTTCGAGCCAGAAGTCTTGGGAGGTGTGGGTTCTGCCAACGCGGCGAGGGGTCAGCTTATCACCGACCCGAACAACGCCCGTTACCCTTCTCAGGGCCCCATTCCCAGGTTCGACTGCCGCGTTGCGTCGTCTGCTCTTGCCGAGGGCCCCGAGGAGGCCGCGTCGTTAGGTTGGGCGCTGCGCTCGACCCTCACGGGCATGTCGTGCTTACCTTTTCACGGTATTTTCCAGCGCATGGCTGAGCCGCCGCCTCTGGCTGCGGGCTTCCAATCTGAGCCTCGGCCGTCCGGGTGCAGCGCTGATTGCGATGTGCGTCTGGACTTGGTCAACCAAGCAGTGGAAGAGGTCGCTGCGGGGTATGGGGGAAATGTCCGCGGCCCTTTTATCGAGCGGCTACACCTCGTGGGCTGCCGTGCCTGAGTTGGACCTGGCCAATCTCTCGGGCGCCGAGCCTCCGGCGCTCACGTCCAGGGGCAGCGAGCTGGAGACTCTGCCGAGGGCCACCGAGCTCGAGGTTCAGAAGTGGCTGCGCGCCCAGCCTTGGGCCCTCGAGGCGGAGCTGGGCGCTTGCATGCAAGATGCCGCGCGCCTGCCTCGAGCTGCCTGGTCCACTGCGGCGGGGGCTGCGTTGCCGGGGGGGGCTCGTTGCGCGGCCGCTCCGGGCGGCAAAAGGGGCGGCGGCGGTGGCCCCGAGGCGAGGTTGGCCTCCTCCTCCCTCCTCCTCCTCCACCTCCTCCTCCTCCTCCTCCCTCCTCCTCCTCCTCCTCCTCCTCCTCGTCCTCCTCCTCCTTCTCCTCCTCCTCCTCCTCCTCCTCCTCCTCCTCCTCCTCCTCCTCCTCCTCCTCCCCCGGCAGCGCACGAGGGTTCTCAGGCATCGGGATCCCCGGGAGGGGGTGGTCTGCGATTGATGCATTTTCGTCGGGCCCACTGGCGAGCGCCAGCTGCGGCCGTCGGCCGCGAAATCTCCGGGGCTTCGCGCCGGGGGCTTCATGCGTTTAGCAGTGCAGGTATGGCGTCGACCTCTCCCAAGTCCCAGCATCGTTCCCTCGCCATCCTCTTCCTCCTCGAAGGGGGGCCCTCCCTGGCGGTCGAGCGTGGCGCCTATTGTTAGACGACGCAAGGAGCTCTCGCTCATCCAGACCCGCGCGCTTGCTAGCTCCTTGCGCTTTGCTGAGATGGGCCCCGCGTGGGAGGCGGTGCGTTCCAGGGGCGACTGCTCATGGGCTCAAGTTTGGGGCCACACCTCGGCGCTGTGCATGTCCTTGAATCGCTCAGGTTGGCACGTGGCCAGCTTCTGCGCCACCATGAATGACGTGGGGGAAGCTCCCCAGCTGCTGCATCTCTCCCCCAGGCTGGGGGGATCCCCGCGCCGCTCTGCGGTGCTGAGGGGGCTCGAACGGTCTTCGTGGGAGAAACTGAAGGTCAAACGCACGTTGTGCACAGAGATTGCCAAGTCTATATGCAGGTCTACACGCGCGAGCCCGAAGAGCCGCCCCACCGTGCATGCCCTCGCCTGCAATGCTGTATGGACTGCCAGCTCAGCGAAGCTTGCAGGTTATCAGGTCATAGACGCGCGCCAGCTCTGCCTGTCTGTACCTAACACGATATGGCATAGATTGCAAGAGTGCCCAGCATGCGAAGGCGTCCGCCGGGAGGTTGCCGATCCCGAGGTGTTGGCTCTGGCGCTTAAGACGGATGTGGATGATCACGAGTGGACTCTCTCTGTCGGCATCCTGAGAGTACTCTCCGAGGCCGGAGTCGACTGGGGAAGTCTTGGTTCGCTGGGGTGCTCCCGAGGTCTGCCTCTTCCTGTGCCCTTGGTTCCCACGCCCACCTCTCCGGAATTGGGCGCCCGGGGGTCTCTGCTCACCGGCGGGTTGGGCGTTGCGTAATGGGGGGGTCATAAATGGGGGGGTGGCGAGGGTGGTCCGAAAAGGTACCCAAACGGTACCTAAACGAGCCCCCTGGGGCTCCAGAGGGGCCCGAAAGGGGCACGAAAGGGGACCGTTTTTGACCCCCCCATTTATGACCCCCCCATTAAGCCACGCCCAACGCCCTGTCTCCGAGCTCCGCAGGAGCGCGTGCACGGCGCGTTGCCGCGGCGGGCTCCCGGGCCCGTGGGCTCTGCGAGGTGTTTCTGCGCCAGTCCGGCCACCGCATGCCCGGGTCCCTTCCTAGGCTGCCGAGTTCCCAGGCCTTTTGCTGCATGGGCTAATGCGCGGGGAGGCCATGCCGATGCGCCTTGAGATTGTAGCATCGTTTCGACTACACGTGAAAGTGACCTATCGCCATAGTGACCTTTGGCGCGGGCGCAATGGGGTCCCCCGATCATCGATTGCGATGCGATAGTAGCGTCCTGCGCGCCTGAGTTTGGTCCCCCCGCGGCCCCCCAAAAGCCGCGCACCAAAGGTCACTCTTACCCAGGGTCACTCTTGCGTGTAGCCGATCGTTGTCCGGCAGTTCTGCCAAGGTCTCGCGAGCTGCAAGTCAAGCACCAATCTTCGGGCCCCTTGCTCCATCAGCCAGCGGGGGCGGCAGGCTGCGCTCCTTGGTCACTGTCGATGCCCACCGTGGCCCTGAGGAGCAGGAGATCGCTTCCGAGGAAAGGTTTTTGAGGCAAGGCAGCGAGCTAGCGGACGCCGGCGTCGAGAGAGCCGTTGCCCGCCACCCCAGTTTCGATGCCCACGGAAGAGCTCAACGGGAAAAATCAGCGTCGCCAAGAACGTGTTGACCGTTGGTGCTGCTCTCCTCCCCCTGTGGCCTCGGGTGGAATTTCTTGGTCTTGTTCCTCCTCCTCCTTCTCCTGCCGCTCCGTGGCTGCGACACCAATGGGAAGCCATCCGTCACGTATGGAGGTGCAGTGTCTCTCTGAGAGGATCTCCTGCCACGTTTTGCTGCCTTCCCGGCTGTGGCTGCACATGCCGCTCTCGTTTGAACTCTGCGGTCTTGGGCCGCTTCGGGCACAAGGTCATTGTCGCTGCTTGCTCGGACAGTTCATTTCTTGCCACGTGTATTGCTTGTTGCTTCTACAGTCCGGGTGCTCCACCTGCAGGCCTCCGGCGGTGGCATGCAACAGGAATTGGAGGACAATTATGTTTGGCAGGCGACCTGCCAAGCCACGGGTGGTGGTGGAGACGATTTACACTTCGGCCATCACCACACGAGACGAGCTTCCAGGCATGGCAGTGGTGTCTCGTTCTACTGTCTCTCTCACTGATGTCTGAGACATGGCTGTAGACGGCGACTGCTCCTCGTCTACACCTCCCCCTTGTCTCCCTGGCCCTCCCCCCCTGATCTAATCCTCCTCCCCCTCCAAGACCGACAACGGCGACGGCGGCGGCGTCCTCGACAACGACGACGACGACAACGACGCCGACGACGACGCCGCCGTCGACGACGACAACGACGACGACGAAAACGGCGACAACGACGGCGACAGCGACGGCGCCGAAGCCGACGCCGACGACGACGACGGCGACGGCGACGGCGCCGTTGAAGGCGACGGCGCCGACGCCGACGCCGGCGCCGACGCCGACGCCGACGCCGACGCCGACGCCGACGATGCTGCCGACGACGACGCCGACGACGACGACGACGCAGGCGGCGACGGCGCGACGGCGACGGTGGTGGCAACGACGCCGACGACGACGGCGCCGACGTCGGCGACGCCGGCGACGCTGTCGACGACGACGACGACGACGACGACGACGACGCCAACGGCGACGACGACGCCGACGACGACGACGACGGTGGCGGCGACGCGCGACGCCGACGCCGACGCCGACGCCGACGCCGACGCCGACGCCGACGCCGACGCCGACGCCGACGCCGACAACGACGACGACGACGACGACGACGACGACGACGACGACGACGACCCGACGACGACGACGACGCGGACGCCGCCGCCGAGGGCGACAGCCACCCGGCTTCGCGGGCCAGCCGCGCCTGCCGGAGCTGCCAGGGCTCATGGGCAGCGGCGACGACACGCCCCCGGAGGCGCTCGAGGGCGTACGGGCAGGGTCGGGCCGATCGAGGAGGACATCCGTCGGTCGATTCCCCCCGCGGGCAGTGACAAAAAATCATGACGGGAGGTGTTTCTTGATTTTCGGCCTTTGGAGGCCCTCGCGGGGCCTTGGTCGGGGGAGCGTCAGACCCGGGTTTGCCAGGACTCGGGTTCGCCATCGTTTTTTGACGACCGCGACTCGGATTTTGACGAGCAGGAATTTCGTGGGATGTCTGCAGCGGGAGGCCTCGTCAGAATGCAGGCTCGGCCTCGTCATTTTTTTGACGACCTCGTCGGGGATTTCCGAGTCCCCTGTGCCCGGTCTTACGCCCCCCTGACTTGGGAGCGTCAAACAACGATTCAGGATGCAAAGCCGGTCATGGGGAAGGGATCGGGACTTCTGGGGGGCGACGTCATGAAAAACTCAGTACGTCGGGGGTCTGGGTCAGGCGCCTACATATTTCGATAACCAATATGAGTTTGCTGCACCCAGTCTACTTTTTAGCCGCATCCCTACGTCATGTTTGTTTCCACTTCTCCCGCCCGACGCGTACGGGAATAATGGGCTCAGACGTGACCGTGTCGTGGAAAAATCTTGACAGCGGCTTGTTCCCTCGGTTTCGGCCTCTGGAGGCCCTCGCCGGGCCTCGGGGTCGTCAAGGCATTACCCATGACGACAGGCCGGCCCCGGGGAAGGGGTCTGGACGTCCGGGGGCCGCGCATGAAGACATCAGGACGTCGCATGTCTGGGGTACGACAGCAGCTCTTGCCCCGAGATCGTGCTGTCCTAATTTTTTCTTCAGCCGGCGGCTTCGCCCAGGTTCGGGCCCCGAGACCCTCGCAGACAGAGATCTGGCTCGAAGGATGGCGCAGATAGGTGAGGTCTGGGGCTCCAGTCCTTCTCTTCGCGATGTTTCATTTTTTTCGAGACGTGGGATCTCAGGGGGCTCCTTTTGAGCAGGGCTCGCTGTCGGCGTCGCCGCGGCCGTGGCCCATTTGAAGCAGAAGACCGTCCGCCCAACAGCGGCCACTGTCCTTCTGGGGGCAGCGCGTGTCCCTGAGATCCTACGTGGCAGAAACAGTTTCAGCATAGAGCAAAAGCACGCCAGGGCTCCAGACCCCATCTCTCTGCGCTGTGTTTCGAGCCGGACCTATCTGCCAGGGTCCCGGGGCCCGAAATGGGGCAAGAACGCCCGCTGTGAAAAAGTTGCAACGCCAAGATCTCAGGGGCTGTTGGGCACCGAACCATTTTTTTTGTACGGTAGGTTCGCGTCGTGTCGACCGGCGGCGACTCCGCCGCCAGCGTTCAACGTGGAACGCCGCTGGCGATGCAGAATCGGCAGATTTTGAGCTCCGACGTCTCAGAGACCCGACGTCATGATTTCTTCATGACGTCGACCCCCAGAGTTCTCGACCCATTCCCGGGGACCAGTCTCTCTCGTCCTGAGTCTCCTCTTCACGGTCCAGAGGCCCATCAAAGAGCCCCCTGGAGGCCGAAAATAGCGAAAGCCCTCCGTCCTGATTGTTTCATGACCCGAGGGGGCCTGGGATCCGAGGCGGACCGATCCCCGCGGCGTCAGGAATGTCGGCGCGACACGAGCACGCCGTAGAAGTACCCATGCCGGGCGTCCAATGAAGCAGGCGGGAGATGCCGCGCCCAGCCCACCGTGGAGGGGGGAGGGGGAGGGCTGAGCAGGACGAGCCCTCGATCATCACGCGCAACGCTCATGCCTCCTTTCTCCTTGTCTTCCTCCTCATCTCAGGAGGGAACAAAAACACATGGACACAATGAACCGTCGAATCCCAAGAAAATATGGGAAAACATGGGAAGTGGGGGGGAAGACGAAAACCCAGAAACTATGGGGAAGACGAAAACCCAGAAATCTATGTATATTTATTTGTGTGTCCCAGGGCCCCTTCATCCTCATCCTTCTTCCCCCGTGCCCTGGTGGCTTTTTCATTGGGCGCGCTGCACGGTGAAAACCGCTTAGAGATTGCCACTGAGCTGCTCCCCTCGCGGTCTTGGTGGCGATACTGAGACAGCCCTCCTGACCCAGACCCCCGACGTAATGATTTTTTCATTACGTCGACCCCCAGAGGACCCGACCCTTTCCCCATGACCGGCTTTGCATCCCGAGTCGGTTTTTGACGCCCCCGAGACCCGGTGAGGGCCCCTGGAGGCCGAAAATTAGGAAAAGATCCCGTCATGTTTTTTTCTTTATTCGAGGGGGTCTGGGGAGGGGCCGCGGGCTTTACTTTCCTTTGCTTCGGGGGGAGAGGAAGAAATAGAAAAGGACGAGCCCTCGATCCTCCCAGGCCCCGCGACGCCATGGTCTTCTCGTGGCGTCGACCCCCCCCCCAGACCCTCTCGAGTCGTGGACAAAAAAAACACGACGATTTGTTTTTGTTGTTGTTCAAGGCGTTACTTTGCAAGCACGTCGTTTTCGGCACCGCCTGATCCCGAGGCTTTGCCTCCTCCTGGCCTCGCTCTGAGGCTGCGCTCTCCCCCCTTCCTCCCCCTCCATGGCAATTCAAGCTTCGCGCGGCCCGCTTAGCTTCGACCGGAAGAGGTGCGCTCTCGACCCGCGAGTCAAACAATTGCGTTTGTTGTTGTTGTTTTCGGCCTCTGGGGGCCCTCACGGGGCCTCGGGACCTTCCAAAGACGACTCAGGGTGAGAAGTCCGTCGACGTGGTGACAAAAGTCATGACGTCGTGGGTCTGGGCCTCGAGGTTCTCGACCCATTCCCCAGGACCAGTTTTGCATCCCGAGCCGTTTCTTGACGGCCCCGAGTCCTTGCAAGGGCCCCCTTGAGGCCGAAGGTGGCGAAAAACCTGCCGTCGTGATTTCTTCACGACGCGAGGATGTAAGGGTCCCGGGAGGCCGAAAGTAGCGAGACGCCTGGCGTCGTGATTCCTTCCTCCTCGATCCTCCTTCCCAGACATCTGTCCGCTCCAGTTTTCTCACGCGTGGGCCCCCGAGGTCGGGGCCACTCTCCCAGGGCCGGTGTCTCGTCCCGAGTCGTTCTCGGACGGTCCCGAGGCCCGGCGAGGGCTCCCGGAGGCCGCAGACTGCCCCAGACCCCGCCGCCCCGATGTCGTGGAGCGTCGGCTCTCTGGGTCGAGCCTCCCTCTTGGACGCCCCCCTCTTGGCCGACCCCGAGTAGCTCCTCCTCCTCCTCCTCCTCCTCCTCCTTCCTCCTCCTCCTCCTCCTCCTCCTCCTCCTCCTCCTCCCTGCTCCTCGGGAGGTCGAGGGCCGAGGGCCGGGGGGGGAAACGCGCGAGGGGGCCCCGGCGGCCGAGGGCCTCGGCGCCTGCCCCGGGAGGGGCGCCGCACAATGACGCGGCACGGCGCACAGCGCGGCTCTCCGCGCCTCGGCGTCTCGGGGCGAGAGCCGGGGGTGGACAGAGCCCCCAACCCCAGACGCCCTGGAGCAATGGACAAATCACGACGGGAGGTTTTTCCTAAGTGTCGACCTCCAGGGGCCCTCACTGGGCCCCAGGAGCGTCCAAAAGCGACTCGGGATGCAAAGCCGGTCCTGGGGAACGGGTCGGGACCCTTGGGGTCGACGTAATGAAAAAATCATTACGTCGGGGGTCTGGGACAGTGACACGTCGATTAGTGGATTGTCCGTTTTCGGTTCTCGAGATGGCGCCGTGGCCGTTCGTTCCCAGGCTTGCGCCCGCCAGGTTTGGGCCGCAGGTCGTTTTCCCTATAAACCACGTTTTACTAAAGGGGGGTCTGTCCATCCCCGAGAGAGCGATGTCGGAGGACGCGCAAAAGGGGGGGCGATCGGGCCAGACACCCCCCTCGGGGAGCGGCAAAAATCATGCCGGGAGGTGCTTTTTCGAAGTGTGGGCCTCGGGAAGCCCGTGCCGGTTCTCGGGGCCGTCAACGCGAACGACTCAGGAGAGAAAGCTGGCCTTCGAGGCTCGACGGAGCTTCGTCTCTTCTGCGGCGGAGGGCGGCGGAAGCACAACGGCGGCGGCTCCGGCCGCGGAAGCCGGCGGAAGCTCGAGAGGGATGTCGGAGGACGCGCATTGCGGGGGCGATGAACCCAGAACCATTCAGGTCGGGGGCCACATGCGAACCCTACCCCTACCCCCCACGATTTCTGATGGGGGGCAGGGGTAGGGTTCGCATGTGGCCCCCTGTCAGGTCATGAACAACTCATGCTGGAGGGTTGTTCGCTATTCTCGGTCTCCGGGGGCCCTTACCAGGCCTCGGGCCTCGGTCGGGGCCCCCCACACGGGGTGGTGACCACACCATGTGGTGAGTCGGTGGGGGATTCGGGGTCACCGCACGGTTTTGGGACCCGAGTCCCTCTCCGAGAACGCCTCGGGCGACTGGGGCCTCCAGGGTCCCAAGACCGTGCGGTGACGGACCTTGCGGTGAGGCCTTGGGGGATTTCGAGGTCACCGCGCGGTCTGGCACCGCACCGCTTCGGGACTCCAAACTCGGGCCGGGCCTTGACGGTCCCGATGCCGGGCGAGGGCCCCCAGAGGCCGGAACCGGTCCCAGACCCGCCGCTCCAACTCTTGTCGGAGGGTCGGATCTCTGGGCCACGACACGCCAAGCACCAGCTCCCGACCGCAGGAGGAGGAGGAGGAGGAGGAGGAGGAGGAGGAGGAGGAGGAGGAGGAGGAGGAGGAGGAGGAGGAGGAGGAGGAGGAGGAGGAGAGGAGGAGGAGGAGGAGGAGGAGGAGGAGGAGGAGGAGGAGGAGGAGGAGGAGGAGGAGGAGGAGGAGGAGGAGGAGGAGGAGGAGGAGGAGGAGGAGGAGGAGGAGGAGGAGGAGGAGGAGGAGGAGGAGGAGGAGGAGGAGGAGGAGGAGGAGGAGGAGGAGGAGGAGGAGGAGGAGGAGGAGGGAGGAGGAGAGGAGGAGGAGGAGGAGGAGGAGGAGGGGGAGGGGGAGGGGGAGGGGGGAGGGGAGGAGGAGGAGGAGGAGGAGGAGGAGGAGGAGGAAGAGGAGGATCTCTGGGCCGCGGCACGCCAAAGCACCAGCTCCCGACCGTATGTCCTCAGGTTGGCGGCGGGGCCTCCCTGCGGGCGCGGTCGCGGCCGCCCGCGCTGGGCGCCTCCGCCGCGGACGCGGCCGCCTGGGGCGTACCGCCGGCGCCGACTGTGACGGACACAGTGGGGGGGGGGGGGGCCCCGGCGTTCTCAGGGGCACCTCCTCCTCCTCCTCCTCCTCCTCCTCCTCCTCCTCTCCTCCTCCTCCTCCTCCTCCTCCTCCTCCTCCTCCTCCTCTTCCTCCCCGCCGTAGCCATTGTGGCTCAAGATGATTTTGCCCCGTGGCAGAGGGCGGTTGGTCCAGGGCCAGTTCAGCACCCACTTTCCCCCTCTCACCGTGTCTGCGGTGCTCGCTTCAATACTCCTCTATATCGACGCACCCGAGGTTGTCTTCGCAGATGGCGCGGGCCACCTCCCGTTCATATGGTACAGGGTGGTGCGAATTCCAAGCGTGGAGCTGCCGAGGGCAAAGGTGCTCATCCCGGACGCGGTGGTGACCCTTGCGCTGAGTATGTTGTCAAGCTCGAGGCAGCTGCACTTCCAGCCTACGTACGCAAACGACTCGAAACAACTCTCGCCGTTCCAGTATGTGAATTCGCCGCTCAGGTCGAAGCCACCGCCAAAAGCTCTACCGAGACCCCCAGAGCGAAGTTCACGGCGTCGGTTCAAGAGATCGCACGAGACCTTTCGGAGAAGAGCGAACGCACGAAGCGAGAAGTCATTGTCATCAAGCAGCGGGTGGACTGGGCCGTGCAAGTCAACATGGAACTCAAGGCATCAGTCGCCAAACTGTACGCAGCTGTCGCCTCCGCCGAGGCCCGCGCTCCCTCCACCAACGCAGCGAACATCGGCACATGGGATCGCGATCCAGACCCTGTCACCGTCTGGTGCGGAGGCGCAGTCTTGCTCAAAGAAGAAGCACTTCGCCTTGCTCTCGCAGATTGCTTCAAAGCTGCAGCGGTTGATTTCAATCAGATCGCTTCCAGCACGGTTGGCTCCGCCAGGCGTACCCATTCTCGGTCACGCACGGCACAGTGGTTGCTGAACCCCGGGCTCGCAAACTTCATGAAGCACTTCGCACTGGGCAAGAGTGGAGGGATTTTGCCATTCATATGGGAGGCCCCGCGCATCCCTTGTACGTCAGTGAAAGCAGGAGCCCCAAGATTGTGTGCAGGGAGGTCAAAGCCAAAAGCCTTGCCAACATACTGCAAGCAAAGCCGCTCGCCAACGACATCTATACCAACAGGGCGCAGGGGTGCATCACGCACAGGGGCAACGCGCTGGTTCAGATTATGCTGGGAGCCTCTCCTAGCGACCCTGCTTCCGCGCATAGCTCCAACGCAGCTGTGCAGTCAGACGCCGCCGAGGACATCCAGAAAGAGAGTTTCTGGACGAGTCCACCGCAGCTCCCGCATGTCCAAACACTTCAGGGCAGTGGCATTGGCACGCGATGGTCACCATGGTTTCTCCGCCCCCTTACCCGGGAGTCCCGGCATCGCCTTCTGGAGCGCTCACTCCTTACATGGTCGCTTCGATGCCCGAATTCGGGGCAGGCGTCGATTTCTCGCTCCCCTCGTTCGCCAGCGAGCTGGCATCGCATTGCAAGAATAGAACCATCAATGACATGGCGCTCCTCGCCAACTTGCCGGAGCACGCCTACCGCTGGCGCTCCACTCGCGGGTGCAGACCAACCGCGGGAACCCTCGCGAGCTGCCGACCTCCTGCACCAGCGCAGGCGGGATTGGCTTCCTGGTACCGCGCGACAATGTCGAGCTAACCCGCCCACCTGGAGAGCGACCTCTCTGGCTGTTCGAAGTCGTCCTTCCAGGCGAGCGGCTTGGCTTCGAGTCATTGGTTTCCACCGGCGGAGGGAGGTCACCATGCCCAACGTTCACAACCACGACCGAGCGCCAGGAGGCCGAGCTGAGCTACGCCGCCAATGGAGGCGGCTGCGAGAGCATGCCGATGAGCAGCCACATGGTCGTCTTCTCGCGCAGCTCGGCGACGTCAACGTCTCTGGGCACCTGCCCAAGAGCCTCGATTCACCAGTCGACGCCGACGCCGCGGCTGCTCAGCGCTACCAGTACCAGCCTGTCTACTTGCGCAACATCTTCAAGGATATGGTGGAGATCAAGACGCCCTCGACCGCGCGCAGGCATGTCGCCGCCGTGGCAGAGCCCGCGATCCACCGCTGCATCGCCCCCCTGCCCGCTCACGCGTTGCCCATCATGGAGACGGCCCCCGCGGCTGATGGCGCGCCCCTGGAACCCAGCAAAGGCGTGATTTGTGACCGCAAGATCATGGACCTTAGGGCCCGTCAACGTCGGCGGCGCCCGCGGGCCGACTGTGCCATGCCAGCCTTGTTCTTCGGCTCGCAGCGCTACCGACATCGCGCGCAGCAGCTTCTCAGCGAGACCGACGCGACCAACGTCCATGCAACCGCCAAGTGGAGGGTGCTGAAGGCTACCATGGCGGAGGCTACCATGCGGGCGCAGGACGCCATGCTGGCGATCCCGCCTGCTGAGCTCACCAGCCCGTCGCTACTTATCTCCAGGGAGATACGCGCCATGCCTCTGCGGAGCATTGCGAGGGCGACGTGGTGCCAGGACGGGCACCTTGCCAGCGAGATGATCAGCAACGCAGTGATTGCAGCCAAGCGCATCCGAGCACAGGCGGGTCAAGTCATCCTCGTTGACCCGAGCGACTTCGGGAACGAGACAGACACCGCTCATGCTTCGCTCATCGAGGGATGCAAACTCAAGGCCGCCGCGCGAGCCGGGGCTACCCGCGCCGAGAACAACGCGCAATTGGGCGACCGCTGGCGCCGGAGCTGTCGACATGAGGGTCGCAAGGCCGAGCTGTGGGAGCCGTTCTCGACGCGCCTCGCACTGGCGGGCGTCAAGATGGTCGCTGGCATTCGCAGCGCCATCGCCGCAGACCCAGCAGGGATGCATGCGGCAATCATGAGCCATTGGGAACCCAAATTCGCAGCTGCGTGGGTGGGCGAGAAGGCGATCGCCGAGTGCCTGAACTCTGTCGCCCCTCAGCAGCAGACGCGCGGCCTACCCGTTCCAGACGCGGCGAGCTTAGAGCAGGCCGCCAACGCACTCGAGCGACTCTGCCCAAGGGCATGGTCGACTTCCATATCGAGCTCGGCTGCGCACCCAGACCTGCTTCGAGGCGTCTTCCGAGCACGCGCGCGACATCGCAAGATCCGTTGCACCGTTTCTTTCCTATGACCTCAACTTCCCTCCCATGGCTATGTCCCTCAAAACAGATGATCCTCCGGGCAGCGCGGAGTGCACTCGCGCACCAGATTGCCTGCGACCGCGATCAAGCTCCTGGCGGCGGCCGCCGACTGGACGCTCCACTCCGTCGCGGCAGACGCGGCCCTTGAGCTCGTAGTGGCACTTTCTCTAGAGTCGAAAATGGGCGCGCGTCGAAATCCATTACCAACGAAGTTGCGTTGTTTGATGGTTTCAGTGTGCGGGCGCGCCCTGTCGCGCGGAGGTTTCTCGGCGCATCCGGGGGCATGCTGAACTTCGCATAGTGCGAGGCATTCACTTCGCACGTTGCGTATGCTATTTCATGCCAATCACGCGTGGCTTGAGCTACTTCGCAGACGCTTTCTGGCGAGGCCCTTCGAGGGCCCTCTCAGGGCCCGCCGGAGCCGCCGAGCGCCGCGAGCTCCCAGCAGCAATTGTCGACAGTTTGCACAAGCAACGCCGCCGATAGGGCCGCCGAAAGAGCCGTCGAAAGGGCCGCCGAAATTGCCGCCGAAATGGCCGTCGGAACAGCCGTCGAGAGGGCCGCCAGAATTGCCGCCGAATTTGCCGCCGAAGTTGCCGCCGAAATCGCCGCCGAAATTGCCGCCAAAATCGCCGCCGAAATTGCCCCCGACATTTCCGCCTTTCCGCATTGTGCCGCCGAACAGAGGCCGACTGTGACTTTGGCTGTGGGTCTATGATTGTGTCCGCGGCGTCATCGCGCTTTACAAAACAGCCATTTTGCTTGGGGAAGGGCGTCGGAACATTTTGGCGGCTGAATTTCGGCGGCGATTTCGGCGGCTGAATTTCGGTTGCGCGTGCAGTTTTTCGTAGTGTCATAGCGTAGTGTCGAACTTCGCGTTTAAGATCAACTCTCTCCAGCGCGGCCTCGTGAGCGCATTCGCCGACGACCTGGGCATCATCATCCCGCGCCTCTCAGATATCTCAAGGTTGGCCCCTCATTTCATCGCCGCCGAGGTTCTCGCGGGGCTCAAGCTGCAGGCCGAGAAGTGCATCATTGCCCCAACTTGGTCACTGCCAACACCCAACCTCGCCCTCGAGATTCGTGACATTCCAGCAGCAGCGCAGCTTCCGAGGCGAAGCTTCAGCATCGAAGCGATTGCAAAGTACCTCGGTTTCCACGCGGGCCCTGGCGCGTCTCTGAGCGACCAGTGGAAAGGGCCAGCCTCGAAGTGGTGGGGCCGCGTCGAGCAGCTCGCCCCGTCGCGCGCCACGATCCAACGGAGCGTCGAGGTATGCGATGTTGCTGCGGCCGCCTGGCTTTCGCGTGTAGGACAGCTGTGCAAGCCACCTCCCTCTCTGCTAGCGAAGGAGCTGCTGGCGACCCACAGGCCCCTGCGCGCTGCTCCGAACGGCTTCGCCAGGTCAGACATCCAGGCGACGGCGCCGTGGACCGACGTCGAGACCCCAATCGGCGTCGAGACGCTCCTGGCCGCCGCGATGGCGCGCGAGGCCGCCATCGCCGTCAAGCGCTGGCACGTTGCGCGCGCGAGTCTCTGCGACGGAGCCCGCGAAGAGCTTCCCCGAAAAGACGCCGTGGAAAGGCGCTGGCGTGCAAAATTCTGGAAGGATCCCCCGTCGATGGCGCAGCGCTGCTTCGGCGCCGCGAACTCCTGCTTTGCGGGGGGCAAGGGTTCGATCTTCAAGTGGATGATTCGCGCTGTCAACCTCCCCCGCTATCGCGAGAGGCACTCTGCGAGCTGCCCGCGCGCGCGCCGCGCGCGCGCCCGGGGGCCCAGGTCATGCTGGGCAGTAATTCGAGGGCGGCGCGCATGGCGAAGAAAAAGAAGAAGCGCCCCAGAAGGTGTACTTGGTGGCGTTGCAGGAGAA